GAGGCTGCCACAGCTGGAGCGCCCGCCATCATCGTGCGGACGGCGAACCAGATACCCGACGGAATGGATGAGTACGGCCAGACAGCTAGCCCGGTGGCTCAGGCGCTGGCGCGGGGCGCGACGGGGAGGGAGGACCATCCCCTGTGCATTCTGACGCAGGGGGTCGAGGAGGCAGGAGTGCGAGATGAAGGGCACGCTCGGAGGTACCCGCCCTCGACTTCCCCGACATACCCAACGCAGCCACCGTGGGTGGACACGATCACTCGAGGAGAGCTGGGGGGCCTACTGAATGGGGCGGCCCGGGAGCGCTGGCGTCGTCGAGGGGAGACGGCCCTGGCGCTGGAGTTCCTGAAGGCAAGGGCCAGTGGAGAGGATCACCCGCTGGACGTGGCCGAGAGATTACAGCACTCCGAGGGTTTCGATGACCTGGGAGAGGCGTGCGACGCGATCGTCGAGTCGCTCGAAGCCTTGGAGAGGGACCGCGGCTCCTTCATGACGGACGACGAGGTAGAGAGCCTGCGGCAGCTAGCGGAGGTGCTGAGAGAGAGGCGCGGCCTGAGCCAGGCACATGAGGAGGAGGTGGCGGGAGGAGCATGGCGGGAGGGGCTGGCGCGGCCGGTCCCTGGCCCTGCGCGGCCGCCCACGCCCCCCATGGCCCGCCCTTCGGCGGTGGAGATGCCACCTGGATTGGGAAGGATGCCCGAGCCAGGACGGCCAGCCAGGGAGGAGAAGGGGTCAGCTCGAGGTTGGGAGCCCAAGCGGCGGGCAACCGACTTGGGCGGTCAAGGAGTCGACTTGCGGGGCAGCACAGTGCGGGCCGAGCTGGGCCGAGGCCCACCGACGGGTCGACCAGGTCATGACCCCACACCACCTCCCATGGACTTGTTCGAACATCGGGCTGGCCCGACCTTCGGGGTCCCGGCGAGGAGAGCTCGAGTAAGTTTCGATGAGGAAGAGTATGGCCCGTCGGAGAAGTTACGGAGGTCAGCTGGAGCACTCGGCGACCCCGAGGACAAGGGCAGCGACGGAATGGTTAAGGTCATGGCGGACATCGCGTACAACCTCGACCTAACGAACAAGCGGGCGGAGGACGCAGCGGCGGGAAAGATGGGCACCCTCCAGTCGATCACGAAGGACCACGAGCTGCTTGTCCTGGCGGCTCGTGGATGCGGACGGTTCCGGGTGGCCATTTGCCCGGACGACTTGGGCCGAGCGCTCGTCAAGGCACTCCTGCGCATGGCGGAGCATTCCTCGGCGTTGTTCAAGCACCACCGCTGGCCTACCCTGATCAACTACCGGATCGCCTTTGGCATCGCGTCGGGGTCATGGGGAGGTAAGTCGGTCGAGACGCTGGCCGCTCACGCGCAGTGTGGCCGACTGGGTGACTTGCCCAGAGGAGTTGTTCGATGACTACGTACCCACGACAGAGTACAAGATCGAGCCGCGACCGAAGCAGCCTGTGGATATGTTGAAGTGGGCACGGCAAGCTCGCAACGGCATCTGGGCGGTATGTTTGGCGTATGGAGCTGAGCACTGGGACGAGAGGAGCGAGGCTTTGGACTACCTCATCCGGCAGCACGAGGCGAAGCCGCGGAAGTATACCGCCCGTTTCATTCAGGATGCCTGGGAAGAGCTGATCGGGCGGTGGTGGGAGGAGCTTCGGTGGAAGGTGAAGGAGGTGCAGCGCTACTGCAACAAGGAGCTCATGAGGAAGGAGGACTTTATCTTCGCTGCTCGGACGCCGACGCCAGAGGGACCACCGCTGCTGACACTGCCTACGACTTTCGAGGTGGAGGACCCGGGCGGGTACTTCCAGACGGTTATCTTCGAGCGCCTGGTCAAGACCGCGGACAACGCCTACTGGGAGAACGCTCACCGTGCCCAGCTGCGTCCACTCGCAGCCGGAGGAGTGGAGGAGGTCGAGGAGCGCCGCCCAGCAGGAGGTCTGCCCCAGCTCCCTTCAGGGGGCGGGGGCGGAGGGAAGGTTGGCGGTCTGACAGGAGGCGGGGGAGGAGGAGCAGGAGGAGGTGCCCTGAAGGCTGGAGCGAGCAAGGTCAAACTCCCGCCAGAAGTCCTCTCGGCTCTGACGGGGCCCGAGGTTGCGGAATCGGTCAAACACGGGCCGAACGACTCCAAGGGAAAGCCCAAATGTTGGGATGCAGCTTGCCACGATGGGTGCTCTAAGACGGCCACCACGTGTCAGCGGTCCCACGCCGAAGGCATCAAGAGTGCTGACAGGGCGCACTGGACTGTGAAGGCGCAGTACATCAAGCGGGGAGGTCTAAAGACGGGACCGAAGATAAAGATCGAAGATCGGCTCGTCAAGATCAAGCAGCTCCGAGCGGATGCCCAGAAGGAGCAGGCCGCGAAGGTGCAGGAAGGCAAGGATCAGGCAGCGCAGCGAGGTGGTCGGCGGGGAGGAGCAACGGAAGCTGGCCGATCCGCGGTGGCGGAGGAAGCCGCCAAGCCGCCCGGGGAATACGCGGACATGGAGTACACCACTCAGGAGCGCGAGCTCCAGGAGTTGGTGCAGGGCCCTGATGAGAGCTGGATGCGGGACCACGGAGGCCAAGCCGCGGTTGTGTGCCCACTCGAACTGCCGGAAGACGTGCCAGAGGTGGCGAAGGTTCACATGGCGATGGCGGACCAGGTCCGCAGCTCGCCGGAAGCAAAGTTGGTGGCGGACGCGCCGAACCGTCTCCGTTCATATTGTCATGGCCGCTTGCTGGATGGGTACCTCGGGGGCAGATCACCACGATCGAGGAGATCCTGCAGGACGCTGT